GTTATTGTTAGTTCTCTTATTAAAGAGACGGTTTTGTTTTACACTTTCTCGTCTGGCCATTTAATTGAGTTCACCTAAACACTTTTCGGCCACATTACGCGCGCCGATTCTGACAACTATATATTTAGCTTATTTTCCTGTTTTGTTTTGGAATACTGGCTAGTTGTATGGTAACTGCAGTGACTCATTGCATATTTACACATGTACAGCAGATATTAAAATATTGTTTTGTCTGAGACACGGAATGTTGATCCTGCCCTGTGCTTTACTTTGTAAGTAGAGAAGTACTCCTACTGAATATAAAATAAGATTGCATAACATGAATATGTACACTCACTGGCCACTTTATTAGGTACAGCTGTACAGTTGTATGCACTTCAGTGCAACACTTCTGCCTTAACATCTGTGTTTATGAAGCTCAAAATGTTAAAGGTGCTGTTGTACTGAACTTAATTATATTCAGAGGTGATGGTAATATTTGGACCTTCTCATGTATGTGAATGGGCAGGACAAAAATGTACAGACACCTCTGAATACAATGTAGTCCAGTACAACACCACCTTTTAACTGTGACCTCAATAATGAACATGTAATAGAATTTATACATTTAGGAGATTCTCACCAAAAACTGAAACATTTTGAGTTTCATAAACACAAATGTTAAGGCAGAAGTGTGGCATTGAAGTGAATACAGATGTACAGGTTGTCAGGTTTGCTCTATGCCACCTGCCTCTCTCTCTTTCTTCTCTTCTGATTCTCTGTTACAGGTACTGGTTTCCCGTCATTACTCCAGCGATCTGCACCTCTGTCTCTCTCCGTTCAGCCTCTGCCTGCATGACCTGCTGCCAGTCATCTTTCATCTTCCTCGAGCTCAGCCATCTCCGCTCTACCCCACCTGAGTTCGCTGGCTATAATCACCTGTCTCAACTTATCTTTGGTTCCTCCATCTGCCCTGCATTGCCACCTCCAGCTCCCCATCTGTGGACCCCTCGAGCTCTGTCTCCTCTGGTGGACATTTCCAGCATATTGACTGTTATCTCCACAACTGGTTTTCTCAGTGCAGTAAAGTTTGTGATCAGTATCACACCTGCCATCTGGGTCCAGCCTGTTTGCTCACTTGCCTCTGCGAGTGCTCACCATAACACAGGTGGTCATAATGTTATACCTGGTCAGTGTATATTGATTATCAATCTGTTCATTAATGAAAGGTGAAAAGCCAAACTCCCATTTTCTTCATGTCTTAGTTGCATGTATCATGACTGTCTGTAATTCCATGCTGCCTCTGAACAGTAAGTAAAAATAAAATATGACTTTGTGATGGTTCAAGTAATGTATTATTTGTTTAAAGATTGTGATTGTGTCCAAGGTGTGAGGGGTCTGCAGTGATCCGCTCAGCCCTCCTTTTGATCCGTGAGGTGTACAGGTCTTCCGTGGAGGGCAGGCTTGCACCAATGACCTTTTCTGCAGGCCTAACTGTCCACTGAAATCTGTACTTGTCCTGTTTGGTTGCTGAGCCAAATCAGACCGTGATTGAGGTGTGGAGAACAGACTTGATGATTCCCCAGTAGAACTGTCTCAGCAGCTCCTGGGACAGGTTGAACTTCCTGAGCTGGTGCAGGAAGTACACCTGTAGGCAGACTCGTCGCCATCTCGGATGAGACCAATGACCGTTGTATCATCAGCAAACTTATTTGAAAAAGTCTATGTATTTTGCTGTTGTAATCTTAAATAAAAACAAACAAAAGTAAGGAGGACCTGGATTTATTTGGAGTGGAGGTTGCCTGTCTGCAGACACAGCGTTGCTGGGCCTGACTGATCGACACCCAGTGGAATCCTGTAAAGCCAGAAGCATCATCTCGCCAGACACCTGACTACCAGAATTGTGTTGTTGATTTTGAATACAAGACTTTACACAAATGTATATAAGGGGTTTAGGGAATGCCCATTGCTTCTAACATTGAAAATACAACCATTATAAGATTTGGTGGCTGGTTGTTCAGCTGGTGAGTCCAAACATTTGGGGATAAGGACAGATAATAGTGTGGTTGTGATTAGGAGAAAAATATTTCAACTAATTTTTCTGGCAGAATTGAAATAACTTTTTTACAAAGCAAGCAGTTAGTTGCATGTATGATTTTGTGTGATTCATAAGTTAGGTGTGATTTGTAATTAAATCTCCAATAAATAGCTGTCAATTTCAGACAAAGGG